TTTTGAAATGGGAGCTGCAAAGTTCAAATCTCTGCCGATTTTATCGTGACGCTAAAGGTTACCTCAACTGAAATACTGAAAAAGCATTCCGAACATTTTAGTGAGAAATAATGTTTGAACTTAATACCCTGTATCCATGGTTATCGAGATGGAAGTATAATAATGGGAAACGAAATATATTTGTAAATTTTAAGTCATGTCATTTTATGAAATCCTATACAGAAGAATCAAAAAGATTATCAATAAATAAATTGAGCACAGTCCAATTTAATTTTTTATTCAAGGAAAAAGTCAAGCCCATAAAAGATTTCTTTTAGGCGTTAAAGAGCTATTGGGAAAGAATTCGGTGCATAAGGAACCGCAACTTATCATCGCAAGCTAAAAGCCTTCAGTTAAACATTTCAATTATAGAAGTAAAGTTCTAACAGTATTCTGGTATTGTATATATTTATTTTGGTTAGATTAGTGCACTAGAGTGTGCTGAATGATTTTTACCCTTGTTCATTGAAAAATGTGGAAAATAAATAATATTTATGATTATCTATCTAATAAATTTTTAAGTTATTGTCAATATTGGTGTGTAAATTGTACAATCTTATTTATTGCGTATAGAGCAAATGAAACGTGAATTGAAAAGCGAGGAGCCACTGTATACTTTCTCTGACCTGCTTGGGAGCGAATCTACCCTACCAAATGAGGACTAAACCCAGGATGCGTCATCTGCTCTATATACGAGGAAACTAAACCAAATCCTGCACTACTTTCAAATAAGATAGATTTCTATCACTGAATCAATGGAAATTCAAGCCGCTTTCAAACCATCTGTGATAAATAAGTGCTCACAATTCAACGGCATATGACAAACAAGGTAAACGCGAAACGAATCGATTTGGTACACATATAAATGCAGGATAACGGAATAATTCTATTTCAAATGATCGGGACCGCGCAGCATGGTCTCGTCTTCACTGTCTATTTGAGTGACAAGTGCTAGTCGTGACTAAAAATGTTCAATGAGTGTGTTATTTCCTGTGCTTACATGAACGAAACAACATGTATCAGGTTCTACTAACTGTGTGGGTGGGTGTCTACCATGGATAAACAAGTAAAGCCAATTTGAGTGTAATTCATGCAGAAAAAGAACTGGAATTGCATTAGAGTTTGGGATTCATACCGATGCTTNGGGTAAGCGGGGTGAGACATACATTTAAGATAGGCGCTCCGAGTTTCGATTGCAAATTTTGTGATTTCAGACACGCAGGGGCTGTGAAATATTCTCAAAAAATAGAGTCCAAGTATTCTTTTTCCAGATGTCCGTTCCCTTATCTAGTTGATATAGCAACTGCGGTAAACAAACATACAAGTTGGTTACAAAATAAAAAAGAATAATATTAATAATGGATATCATATGCTGACCAAGAGATACAAAACCGGACAAGCCATTTTGCTGAAGGGATGCTGGCAGCGGTGTTTTCATGCACTACACCTGCTGCTCTCATACTTTATTCTTACCCTACGTACCACTTTTTCCAGTTCAATAGTACGTTTTTAGGTTCACTTTTCGAGAATAATTTCTTTTTAAATGTAATAAATAAACTTTTCTCGCCCGGTATTTGGAGCAGTTATTAAACTTCAAAGTGTTTATTTTTAATACTGATCCGCTGTTACATTCACAATACAGTAAATGATTCGGTGGCACGACTATTCTGTATGTCAGTCTAACTAAACGAATGGCCTAATCCAAACATCGATCATCTAAATTAATGTCTACTGGTCTAAACAGTCCCACAGGGCATATTTCAAATAAAACAGGGAGTGGCGAACAAGCTCGTTTTTATTGAACCCTAGTCATGCCAAATACATCACAATAAATATTACGCTGTTTTTATATAAATCAGTATTTAACCACAAAAAAGCAAACAAATGTTTCGGGAAAGGGAAGATAACCTCATGGGTTATTCGTGGTTAAGTTCATCTTGGGACCGGATGTGGAATTCTCAATGATCACATAATTGTTAGGTCATCCGATCGTTGGGACCACTCGGAATATGGAGTGTGTAGGGATCGGGCCAGGGNAGAGGGGGGCGTTGTCCAGGCGAATTCCTACCGCTTTCCCTGTGGCTAGCATACAACAGCGAACCTGCCTTGACAATCGACCACGAACCCGTTACAGGGGACGGAATGCCTCGGTTATATTCACAGTGTGATTTGTTTCCACTAGATGTGAAACCACTGAACCAATGAATGACTTATTCGTTCTTGTGTTTAGCCATGGGGCTGGTGTTCACGGATTCTTTCGGACAACAACACCATATCATTTCATATATATGTGATATGATGTTTTCAACCATGTACACACCAATCAAGAAATAATTCAAATTACTGAAAAATTTCCCTTCGAATTTTAAACTGCTTGCATCCTACAGCAGTCAGATGAATCAGAAGTATTCTATCTAAGGTACTTCACTAATCCGGATCATTGTAGCATCGTTCAATGTAACTCGTCCTACCGAGTAAATTGTTCTATTTATTTTAGTTGAATGTTAATATCGTTTTAGCTTACTTGTGAGTAGTCGAATTGAAAAACCGAAAATAGGAAAGTTCGATATTCTGCTAATTCTATTTTTCCAACCCGTTTGGATCCGCCTTCCATGAGCAATCAAAAATGTATGTAAGATTTAAATCGAAGTATTGAAGAAACCCAAACATTAATTTTATTAAATGTTATTTTTACTTCTTTCATTCCATTCCGAATAGATTGAAATATGAAACAAGATATCCGATATCTGATAGGTCATATTCATCTCATAGTTCAATACAATTGCAAGCATATAAAATGTGTACAAACTCGCGATTCTACAAGTGCGACGCATGACTAAATGACAAATCAAATTTAACTGTAGCAGGATTGTTTTACGCACACATTCTTGAGAATTGTTGAAAGTTAGATTGCTTTTGAAAGCATAGGTATCAAGTCTAAAAACAACTAATTATATATATACGGGGTTCCATGCAACTTAAGTGAAAATGAAAATATAACTGATTATACTAACTCGAAATTTACCGTACCAAGGATAGGATCGGAACACATCCTCAAGCATGTGCATGATTGTATGACTCAGCTACAGATTCTGACTGCATCACGCAGACCGACTTCGGCCATCGCACGTCACTTGGTTGAAAGCGACCACAGGGTCCACCTTACGAATGCGTTCTCGGTTTTGTCACGTCATCGAGACAAACACCGACTAAGGATACTCGAAGTATTATCGATCGCTCACAACAAACCCACACTGTTCGTCCAAAAGCGTATGACGTTTAGCCTTGGCCTTCCCTGGTTGTAACCAATCCCGTGCATCACGCATACACTGTACACAATCACACACGCACATGGTTAATACTAACTAGATTTCTTGTTTCGCTTGATTTGTCCATCTTGTTCAATGTTAGACGTACGCGACCATTGAGAGTATACGAAAGGTATTCTTCTTGCTGTGTCTTCTGACTTGCCTGTTCAAATTCATTATTGTTGTTTTCTTTCATCCATTGAAAACAGTCGGGTTTATCGAATTAGTTTTTTAGTTTTTTCTTCATGAATGTCAGCTCTCAATTGATTAAATCTATCAAATGTTTACGAAAGCTTATTTCTATCCGAAGAAGCTGTACAAACCTCTCATGAAAGGATATAAATCATTAATTCTAGTGCATCCATCTTAAGCTTCGCCATATATACACCTCAGAACTGGCTCATACATGACGGGTAAATCTTGAATACGCTTTTTTTCCACTGGTAAGCGGCGACTACATTTTGATCATAAACTTTAATCACATGTAGCTGATCTTTTCCGACGATATCGTCACTATCATCTTTGTTTTTGCCGAATTGACGGATAAAACTGATCGAACTCGACATGACTACATCTGTGAATGAAGGGGTAACTATTCCAATAGAAACCTTTGATTCCCCTTTAAAAACGTAGTGTGAATAACCTAAGGCGTTCCAAATTTCCACTTTCTAACTAATGTTGTATGCGAAAAAATCAATTAATCCAAACAAAAATGCATTCGGGAAGTGTGCATTCGGAGCTTTTGTCTGCGACCGGAGTTTATCTATACTGCATTTGTATCGAACCATTCGGTATTCTAATTGCTTGCCCATTCAAGAATGAATCTCATTAGGGAAGAACATTCGAGAATTTCGGTTCCGCATATTTTGCGGCTCATTGATTCGATCAGAGCAAAACGAAATTCAATCAGAATCGACTGAGATTCGAAGGGTTTTGCGTAAAAGAGCTATCAGATGTCGTTGTCAAAATTGTCACGTTTTTCGATGGAGGTAATGAAAAGCCAATTTTCATTTATCACGTGTAAATTTCTCCGAATCAACTCATTTCTTTTTGTTTTGATGAAAAACAGATTTTCATTAGTGACCCAATATTGGGTTGAAGAGAGCCGTGGAGGCTTCGATTCGATTTTAAGGTGAAATTGTTTCCTTAAATCGAACAACTTTATCTTGGACTGAAAAGATAGAAATCACTGTTCAGCCGTTTGGACAAATGTGACACTCCGGTTCGTGTGAAAGTGGAATAAACCGATTTTTATTACTCTCGTGTTTCCACAAATCTACCGACAGATCAATCGACCTGGAACCGGTGATGACATGTGCACAAATTCTCCACTTTGAGTTGGCACACACAATTCAGTATTATCTATTCGAGTGCCCCTTTTTAATGTAATGCCCGTGCACTCTGGTTTAAGACGACAATTTAAGACGGTCAAACTTTATTGAATTAGTCCATGATAACGGCTGAGTGTAAAACAAAAAAGTGAAACTGTTGACACGGAGAAACAAATCAAGCAGAATAAATAAACTCAAATAGCTGAAGTCGCACAGGAAAGAAAAGCAGAAAATGATATCACTTTAAACGCGGTGATTTCCTCGGACTAGACCGGACTGCTTATTCTGACGCAATTCACGTGTCTATATTTCTTTCTTCGCTTTAGGCTTCATCCAATTCTTCCGCAAATTCACCATCCTCTTCTGCTGAGGCTTCCTGATACTGTTGGTATTCGCTAACCAAATCGTTCATATTCGACTCGGCTTCAGTGAATTCCATCTCGTCCATACCTTCACCCGTGTACCAGTGCAAGAAAGCTTTACGACGGAACATGGCTGTAAATTGCTCCGAAACGCGTTTAAACAGTTCCTGAATGGCAGTGCTGTTTCCAATGAATGTGGAAGACATTTTTAAGCCACGGGGTGGGATGTCACATACGGCTGTTTTTACATTATTCGGTATCCATTCGACAAAATAACTGGAATTCTTGTTCTGCACGCTTAGCATCTGTTCGTCCACCTCTTTCATTGACATTCGACCACGGAAAATGGCTGCCACTGTCAGGTAACGTCCGTGACGCGGATCACACGCGGCCATCATGTTTTTCGCGTCAAACATCTGTTGAGTCAATTCCGGCACACTCAGTGCACGGTATTGTTGACTTCCACGGCTTGTGAGCGGAGCGAATCCTGGCATGAAAAAGTGCAATCGAGGGAATGGGACCATATTCACAGCCAGTTTGCGCAAATCCGCGTTCAGTTGACCGGGAAAACGAAGGCAAGTAGTCACTCCAGACATGGTGGCGCTGACCAAGTGATTTAAGTCCCCATAAGTAGGATTGGTCAGTTTCAGGGTACGGAAGCAAATGTCGTACAGTGCCTCGTTGTCAATGCAGTAGGACTCGTCTGTGTTTTCTACCAGCTGATGTACGGAAAGCGTTGCGTTGTATGGTTCCACCACAGTATCTGAGACCTGCAACGACAAGGAAAATACAATTACTTTTAGATCCGGTCATAAATGACGTTAATTTAGTACTCACTGGAAAATTATGTCAACTGAACTGATATTCGGATATTCGAGTTTGTATAGAAAACCGAAACCAGTTTTCAACATAAGCCGGTATTTTACGTTCGATCCAATTGGTGATGAAGTATCTTAAAAATTGTTTTTTTATGGTTTTACTCTATGCTTTTGGCTCTAGTAACATACTAATGTCAGTCAAACATTAGAACCTCTATGAAAACCATAGAGGTATAAAATATATTTGCAGAAAATAGACGACAGATAGGAGGGTAGATAAAACCAAACTTATTTTGGAAACGCTTTATCAAATTAATTTCAATTTGGTTCTTCTGGATTTGTCCGAATGAATGAACTAGCGATATTGACCGATAAACCGAAAGTGGACCCGTAAATTTTGTGTCCGTTTGATATAAACTAAAATTCGTTTCATTGATTGTATCAAAGGTTTTGCTGATTTGGTTTCAGGCAACTGCATCACTTTACCTGAGGTACTTAACTAACGGACGTCTGTTTTTCTCCTTTTAATTCCGTCAGATTTGAAATCACTGTTTCGCAAAACAGTCTGAGGAGGAAACAACGGATAACTAAGTAATTGTCATGTGATTTGAAGATGTTAGAGCTTATTTTATGGCTACTTCAAACCTAAGACAACTGGAAATAAATCATGGTGATCATCACTATTTGACGAACACTTCGGTGTCTCTGGGTTCAACTCATGGGAATTTCGGCACCAGCACATTGTATGTGATTCATCAAAGACAGTCACTTCAGACGTATTAAGCTGTGCAAAATTACCAAATCAGGGAATCTGGAAATTCTCTCCTCAATCAATGAATACAGAAAATACGCGTTTTAGAAAATCACCTTGAACTCTGAAATCAGAATTTAAAGGTTTCAAAACACCTTCAGAAATTTTAGGTTTCATTTGAGCTCCTTCAAATGATGCCCCAAAATAATTTGAACATATCGAAAGCATTTGACCTGTTAAATCCTTTTATTGTCATTAGACATTTACAATTTGTTGATCCGGCTGAATTCAGACGGGCACACCGTTTCCTGTCTTTTTGCAGCCAATGTGCTAACTGGAACCACTTTGTGCGTAACTGCACGCCACCTTTTACAGTGCGCACACTGGATTCACTGAATCTCTCATCTGCATCAATGCAACGTACAGAGATGACGCACTAATTAAATCAACAGTATACCACAAAATGTCTTTTTCTGCGCTATCATTTAAAATACAATAAGTTCTTTCAAACCTTTATTTATGTGATGTGTGTCAAATCAGAAGATATGCGAAAAAAATAATTGAAGATAGCGGAGTCCTTTAATGATTGTAAAATGATGTCAGTAGTAGAAATGTCAGCTAGATTACCACTACAGTTGCATCGTTGATAGGTTGACTTGTTTGCTTTTCGATGGATTCCTGATTGCCGTATAGGCCTTGGGATCACCTGGTTACTTGTGAAAGGCGTCCGTCGAGCCCCGGTGACAGGACCATGCGCAGATTATCTGCACAAACAGCGTTTGAAAAGATCACATTCCCAAATCTGGTTCAGGCAATTACTGCTTTGGAGGCCAGTGTGGTATTGCTGAGCTGTTGTTAAACCTTTTTCTGCGATTACATAAACACAAACTGGAAAGATTGTCATCCATGTGAGTGTTAAACAAACGTACATACAACAACTAGGTCAACCAGACATGACCCGATTTCTTCTGTCATTTATTGCGTTCCAGTGAACTGGTATAATGTAGCACGGAAGCTATTGT